TGATGATTTGGACAATTTAGGCCATTACACAGAAGCAAAGCACCTGCATACAGGAGTGATTCTGTCTCTTTACTCTGCAGGAGAGCAACAGTTCGATCAGTCCGTTTATATCTGACATCTAAAATATTTGACTGTTAAATAAACTGCTTTGCTTTTCAATCATTATCAGTTTTGGTCCTAATTGAGCTGAAAAAAACAATTAGCTGGGCTGCAGTATCAACATTTTGCTCTCCAACATGGATTATTGGACTACAGAATAAATGCACAGCTGCTGGAAAAGAGGTTTTGTAAAACAACATCTCAGAGTTGAAACAGGCGGGTGTGTTGTTGTTGTCAGCACCGATCTTCATTTTCCCCACTAACTACACGCAGCACTGATCTTCATTTTCCCCACTAACTACACGTCCCATTTTGTTAGCCCAGAGCCCAAACTGACATATTTATCTCTGATCCAGAGACATGTGGTTTATTGTGATAGAATGAATTTGTCTTAAAGCTAAATCTTACAAAGACAAACTGAGCTCCTAAATTGCTGCAGATGAACTTTATGTCAATCAACTCAATTAGTCCTCTGACATGTTAAACAGGTTTTTCTCTCAGATGTATTTCTGTGGTGGAAATGATGACTCAAGGAAAACATCTAACTAAATGAAATAAACTCATTTTAACCATCTACAAATGTTGGAAAATGTTTTCAAATGCTCAAAGTTATGTCTTTTAAAAACAGTTTGAAGTGAACATTTATGGAGGAGGATTTATTTTGGGAATGTCGGATTAGTTTTAGCCAGGCGTACCTAATAAAGCGACCAGTGTGTGTGTGCTTTACCTAGCTGCTCACAGACGATGTCCTGTGTGTCTGTGTCGTCCTTCCTGCTCAGGATGGCCCCGACCGACCCCTGCAGGCACAGACTAAGAATTACAACCAGGGCTCCACGCTAACTGTTCATACTGGTTGCACTGGTGCCACAGCCGAAGCATTAACCACAACACGTAGGTCTGTCGACATCTCAGCTGTACCCAGAGCTTAGCAAGATGCTCAGGGCTGACAAACAGTGACGTGCTAACACCCCCCACAGACACACCTTCACCTGACCTCTGAGTCCCGAGCCTTAGGATCTAACATTAAAACAGTCTCAGCTGTGGTGAGGTCCTCTACCTTGACGGTCTTTGGGATCTGGTCGACGTACTGCGGTTTGACGATGGCCCGCAGGTCGTCCTCCAGGATTTTGGTGAAGTAGTTCTGCAGCTCTGATCCTCTGAAGTAGGTCAGGATCTCCTGCCAGTCTGGAGGATTCTGGGACGAGAAGACACACACAGACAACAGGATTCGACATTAAACTCATTGTTTGTCTAGAGTGAACCCGTTTCAGTCAGACACATTTATCACCGCCTAGTGATTTGGAACAAAGAGCCTGGATTGTGTGGGCACTAAGGCTGAACCGACTCAGAGCTTTGTCAGTCAGCTCAGACTTGGCTGTTCAACACGATGTCAGAAAATCAACTGCCATGAATTTCAGTGATGATTCGACCACAATAAAAGACGGCTGCATACAATGATGCAGGATTTAAACTGCCGCTAGACGATCACTGGTCACTTTATTAGGTACACCAGTACAGTTGTAATTCAATGCAACACTTCAGCCTTAACATCTGTGTTAATGAAGCTCAAAATGTTTCCAGTTTTGGTGAAATTGTCATAAATGTATAAATGCAATTACAATTTCACCAAAAACAAACATTTTGAGCTTCATAAAAATAGATGTTAAGGCACTGAATGGTATACAATTGTACTGGTGTACCTAATAAAGTGGCCAGTGAATGTATAATATATGGAATAACAAGACACAGCAGCACACTTGTATTTCTGACGCCCTTACAGACTAGTTTTTCTTCTGGGACACACATTTGAGCCTCCTGTCAGTTTAGTGGGTACTGACTATTATAAAGCTGCTTGATTCTGTATGTGAATATTTGTCTCTGCTGCATCTGTAGAACATTAAAGTGGCTCTACACACTGTTTAACAAAGTCCTGCCACATGACTAATCTTAATTAACAGCTGTAGATAAACGAGGAACTGATAATTAAAATGCTGTCATGGCTGTGGGCTCAGCTGTAATTAAACTGTGTTTTGAGGTTAACTGCAGACACATCATGTTGGATCAACAGCATCTTTACATAACCTGTGGTCAACTCTAACACCAAAATGGACAAACAGCATCAAAAGAAGACATCTTAACTTTCAGCTATTGTTTGGTCAGAAGACAAAATGGCTGCTGTGAGCGGCTACACCCACATTTTATCTCATCAGCGCAGCACCGCTCTGAGCTCCAGTCACACTCAACAAATGCTCCTCAGCCACATTTCTGGGTGTTTTCAACCCCTAACTCCTGCAGCATTTCGGTCTGGCTCTTGTGCTCAGGCCTCAACACTCACATCGTATTTCCCCAGGTTGGGTTTCTGTTTTCCAGCCAGGATCTTCAGAGCTGTGGACTTGCCGATACCGTTGGTCCCCACCAGTCCCAGCACCTCACCAGGCCTGGGGATAGGCAGCCTGCGCACGCACACACAGAAAACAGAGTATTATAGCTAATCTATAACTATTCTGACTCAAACAGGTGAAATAACTGCTCCTACTACACGACAGAGTTCATCAAAACACTAATAGAGAGTTGGCAGCGCCCACCTCTTCTAATAAAACAACGGACAGTAATCCTGAGGTGCATCAAAAGAGACTAATAACATCAATAATATGTGCACCACATTTCACTTTCACATCTTTATGGCTCCTAATCATTAAAACAGTCTGACAAAGCTGCAGATTTCTAGGGTTGACAATCAGCTGACGTGACACAAAGGTCACACATTCATCGCTAATTGTTTTGTAGCAGATCGAGTTTTCATGAAAATTACCACATTTGTGTAGACACACCAAGGTCTGGCACATCAACAATTTAATCTGAGGGCAACATTACTAAATTCTTACAACTGTAGCTACACCCAACACTGTCCCCATTTCAGTGATCCGTCTATGACAATGCAGAGGAGCGTACCGGTGCAGTTTGAAGGCGTTGGCACAGTATCTGTGTGTGGTTTCCTTCTCCAGGTTGCTGGGCAGGTTGACAATCGACAACGCTCCGAACGGACATTTCTACAACAACAAAACACCATCAGAACATGTAAAGTACAGCAAAGAGAGACTGCAACAATTCCTATCAAAGCAATCACTAATTTTATACTGATCAGATGTTTCCTTCCAACTTGTTTATGCTTACTTTGATGCAGATGCCACAGCCTATACACAGAGACTCTGAGATCCACGCAATCTTGCATTGTGAAGTCACCTCTATACATAGCTTTCCTACAAACACACACATTTGAAAACAAATGAACCCATTTCTGTTTTTAGTGTTGCTCATTCTGCTTTTATTTGGCCGTGAACACCAGCTCACCCATGCGGACCACTGGGCAGGTCTTCTTGCACTCCTGGCGACATTTCTTCGGTTTGCATTTGTCGTGGTTGACGATGGCAATCCTGGTGTTTTTATCTGCCATGATGAAAGGCCTGCACCTGTGGAGCTGAGAGAAGTTATTTAGATGTTTTATCTTGCAAAGCGTTGTTTGTACACACATACAGTATTTACAGTAGACAGCAACCCCAACAGCTAATATCCAAACACTGAAGCTATACCTGCTAACTCACTATCAGCTCTGCTGAAGCAACACGGGCTCTTCACAACAAAGATGTACAGCCTTCCCCCCAACAGCTAATATCCAAACATTGAAGCTATGCCTGCTAACTCACTATCAGCTCTGAAGCAACACGGTCTCTTCACAACAAAGATGTACAGCCTTCTAACAATGGGCTGCCACAGGCTTGTTACCACAGCTATGAACCTGTGTCTGACTGTAACCACGTTTTCTAACCTTAATGCACAGATTTCTTTAGTGGGGTTTCATTTCGAGCCCGGGGGAGGTGAAACCTAGCTACGAGCAAACCGGCCCTGTTAGCGCCCTGCAGTCCCTTCGGGGGAGAGAGTCGCACCAGACTCCCATTTACAGTTCTGGCCTTTTGTTGTTACCTCGGGTCTGAACGTACAAGCCTACGTGAAGGCCTTTAACTACTCCGTGGTCTCCTCCGTGCAGTGCGCATACATTCAACACATATAACGGCTAATCTGCTCTTCTCAACAATATTCCTCCACTGAAACGCAACGCGACGGGCAGTGGCGAGTAGCATCAAGTTTGTCCTCAAATAACCTCCTGAACAGACTCGTTAATAAGCGAAATTCATCAACTAACCATAAATATTGACAAACACATTGAACTCTGACCTTGTAAATGTAAACCATTGTCAGGGATCGCGAAAACCTCAAACTATGAAGTTATCAAACAAAATTTGGAGTAACGTTATCATCCCTTCATGAGAAAACATGTTTTTGGAGGCCCTCTCCTAGTAAGAGCAGCAGATTTATAAACTACACTATCAAACTATCAACCGTTTCTAGTTTTGTATTCAAACTGATTAATGGGCTGTTTTAAATGCTAAACTGGAAGCTACAATGCTCTGTTAAGTGTACTAATTAGAGGGCGCTAACAGCTAGCTAACTGTTAGCACCCTGTAAGGAGTGCTATGTGCTAACAGCTAGCTTAACATTTACTACACCAGCATTGGAGGCCCCGCACTTTGACAGCTGCTCGACTGGGGAACGGCGTTCCTATGGCAAAACAAACCTAAGACGACACAAAATCCGGAGCAGTCAGATAAAGACTCACCCCTCTTCGGCTCCTCTTCCTCTGCTTTGAAAAAGATAAGCAACACACTAAGTTTAACAACAAATAATTGGGGGTGAAACTTGTTTTTTTTTTCCAGCAACGTGTTCTTCTCCTGGAAGCCGGCAGGAAAGATGGCGGCAAGACACAGACAACATGCGACGCTGATCGTGACGTCATCCAGAAGCGACCATAACTCACAATAGTGGGAGATTCGAAGCGGCTAGTACGGCAAAATTGATTTAAACGTAGATTGTGTAAACGGTTTCATATCCGATGCATTGGCACTACGTCTCGGACACATTTATGAACCACTCTTGTAAGTTTAATCGATCTGTAAACTAACTGTAGTGGTTTTTGAGTGTATGCATTTAAGAAGTATTTGCTGCCAGCAGCTAGCTTAAGCTTCACACCAAACTGTAATCATTTTGTATGATGCTTACATGCATTGAATTAGTTTGAGAAAATAACTAACGACCTCTTGTTTAAATGTTTTGGTCCTCTTTAGAATTCAGCCCAACAAAGCAATACGTTTTATATTCCCTGCTTTTCTCTCTTTTTATATGTCTCGAGTTGAGCAACGATTTTATTAACCACAAATCTGGCACTTAATGTCACGTAGCTAAATAAGATGTGATTAAATGTGTTTCTTATAAGCCGAATTGTAGGTAAAAACCATACAATTGTTTTAAGTTGTTAACTCACATTCTACTATTAAATATCTTTTATGTACCCAAAAAACTGCAAAATTGTAGAAATGTGAAAGAAGTCTGATGTTATATTACTCACCTCCAAAAAAAATGGGGGGGAAAAAAAAAACTAGTTTCACCCCCGTTTACGAAAAGTCAACCAGCATTTAGTGTAATTTTGGTTTGCATATTGTTTGTTTACAAAGAGGATTCCCATTAGTTGATTGCAAAGACGCCAGTTAATTTTCCTGAATTACCAACAACATACATTCAAAACATGGATTTAAACAATAAAACCATATTAAGACATTACATAACATCCCCAAATATAAAACCATACTCAGCCAACAACTGCTGTCTTTCTCTGTGTTTAGAGGATGGCCACCCCAAGCAAGACTCCACCTGGCGCCGACCCAAAACAACTGGAGCGGACTGGGACGGTCCGGGAGATCGGCTCGCAGGCGGTGTGGTCCCTGTCCTCCTGTAAACCTGGTCAGCCCTAAACCAAAAATACAGTCCTGTGTGTACAGAGCATTGAATTTGGTCTGGTGTTAATGTGGCTGTGTTTGCTCACCCATGTCTAGGTTTCGGAGTGGATCAGCTGAGGGACGACAACCTGGAGACCTACTGGCAGTCAGATGGATCCCAGCCTCATTTAGTCAACATACAGTTCAGGTGACATGGAGTTATTTTCCATCAGTACTGGAATTCCTGGATGTTTTTGAGGGATTTTCTGACTTAACCCTGGAAGTCAGGACTATCAGGAACATGCTTCCTAGCAGCTGAAGAGCAGTAAACTGAGGCATAACTGATTTGGTAACAGAAACTCTCTGGCTTATCAAGAAGAATTTTACCTCCAGGTCTTGTAAGAACCCTCGATGCATATTTCAGCTTGTTAATCACCTGTAAGTGGTTGTCAGTGTCCCTGGTGTTTTTATTTGTTATGTTCAGGAGGAGGACAACGGTGAAGATGCTGTGTATTTACGCTGATTATAAATCAGATGAGAGCTACACGCCCAGTAAGATCTCAGTCAGAGTGGGCAACAACTTCCACAACTTGCAAGAGATAAGGGTAACAACTCCATGCTACATGGATAATTGTCTGTCTGTGTGTGATTAGTGATGTCCACAGCAGCTCAGTGTCTCCACCGTATCTTCCTCTCTGCAGCAGTTAGAGATGGTGGAGCCCAGTGGTTGGATTCACATCTCTCTGATGAACCAGGTAAGAAACAAATCATGTCTTCACTTCACTGTAGGTGAACTTTATTCTCTGTAGGTGAACCCTCTCTGCAGAAACAAGCAAAATGCACTAAGATAAAGTAAGCCACTTAATGAAATGAGATGCTATGATGGACATGTTTACTTATTTTAAAAAATGAGACTTGTCAAGTAAGGTGAAGAAAGAGAGTTTTTTCATCTGCATCATATCTTCACTACACAAAAAAAAAAAGACGCTCCAGCACCGTTCTTCATGTGACATTGTGTGTGCTTTGTAGCAGTTGCAGAGAAAAGCCTCAACAGTGACGCAAGTGTGTGTGTTTGTGCGTTTCAGCGGACAAACGAGCCGATCAGCACCTTCATGATCCAGATCGCTGTGCTGGCCAACCACCAGAATGGCCGAGACACTCACATGCGGCAGATCAAAGTCTACACACCGGTGGACGAGAGCTCCATTGGCAAGTTCCCACGATGCACCACAGTCGACTTCATGATGTACCGCACTATCAGGTGACTGCCTGGCCTTCTGTGCCTCCTGGAGAGTTGTGGAAATGCACAAAGCATCAAGAGAAGAGGAGAAACGACACTGATATTTGGAGCTGCTACTGTGCTTTTGTTCAAATCAGATTTGGTTGATTGATTGATTCTATACTTATTACAGAATTGACCAGTCATACTTTTGTCAGATGTGGCTCTTTGAAAGTAAAGCACTGATACTATGAATCAAAGCTGCCGATATATATTTGACTGTAAAGTGTTTTTCTCTTCTCTTTACTCTGACAATAAAACTTCTCTACTGAAACTAGACTATACAATGTAAAGACATCAGCCACACAGTGTCAGTTTATATGTTGTGAAGAGCTGAGCTCCTTAAAGAAAATTGTCAGCACAACTCAAATCATATTGCTTGTATAACAGTTACTGCTAAATTTTCTTTCAAATTTTTATTGAAGTTCAGATAGTAAAGTTACAGTTTTGAAATAAAATAATTTTCAAAATGTCGACTTTTCTGTGAATTGAATCAAATATTTGCTGAATTAATGCCACACGTTAATGTCTGACTGGATCAAAGTGTTACTGTAGTTTAACAGTTTAACCACTAGAGGGAGTTGGATGGACATATACAGTATAATGATCGATTCTTCACGGACTAAGAGCAGTTTCACTCCTTTATATGTTGCATTGTAACGTTTGTTGACCCGGGTTTTATATGTTGTTGCATTGTAACGTTTGTTGACCCGGTGTTTCATTCATATAAAGCTCATTTCATTTTAAGGCAGAGACAAGAAGCTCTTGGTTCAATTACACTGAAAAATGTAGGGGAAGAAAAAAAAAAAAGAACTGGACCCGGTTTTAGGTCGAACATGTTTTCACCCCCCCTCCTTTCTACTGTTACACTTGAGGACTCTCAGTAACAACAGATGCATTTTCTAACCAAAAACTGCTGCAAACCCGATTCAGCCCTTTGAAGGACCAGACAAGACGTCCCCACTTTGCAAAAATGTCCTCACGTTCCACTTTACAGACGTGTCCTCACATTCCAATGTCCTCACAAACCAAAAATATCCTCACTAAAGAAATGTCGTCACTGTTCAATGCTTTTGCTTCAAAACGTTCACTTCACAAAAATTTCCTGACTTTAGAAAAACATCGTACTTTTGCAAAAATGCCCTCAACTAAAGTCTGCGTTTTCCAAAATGTCCTCAATGAAAATATCCTCACTTCACAAACGCATCCTCACTTTATAAAGTTAGCATTTTACAAAAAGAAAGTCCATGAAGTCCACATTTTCCATAAACATTCCCACTTTACATAATTGTCTTCCTTCCATTCCACTTTATTCCTTTTCCTTCTTTCCCGTGCTTTTTTTTTGGCACCCTCCAAGTCTCTTATATGCATTTAATTGTCCCTCCCTTGTGTCTTTTTCTGTCTTCTTAGTCCCACTAATGTAAGATGTGAGGAAGAGATGCCAAAAGAAACCGTAAAGACAGAGGAAATGCATTTAGACACGAGACATCTTTTCCTCTAATCCTTCATCAAAGGTGGTGGTGTTGGTGCCGGTCATGGCTCCTCACTCCCCAGAGCAGGAATAAGTGTCTTGGGCTGCATCTCAACCATCTTATCTGATCGTTCCTCGATCCTCACTCAAACAAGAAGTCATTCTGGTTGAGTGAGGATCGTGAACATCCCAAGACTCTTGTATCTGCTCTATGGATTGAGGAGCAAGGAGGCTGCTGGAGGGAACGTGAGTGAGGAAATCTTTTATGGACTGATGCCCTTTTATCAGAAATTGGTACGTGACTGGATGCTTCAGATGAAGGACTGGAGGAAATCAGAGGAGATTCCTCTCTTTGCATTTTCTCCTTGCATCTTATGTTAAGTGGAGCTAGGAAACAAGGAAAAAGCAAGTGAGGGAAACACTCGGGACATCCACTTTGTCTTGTTTCGTTTCCTCTCTCATTTTCTACTATTCCTCTTCCATTTTCTTTCATTCTTTTCCTGTCGTTTCCTTACTTTTTCTCCATGTTTTCATTTTCCGTCCCTTCCTTTGTCTTTCTTTTCCTCTGCTTTTCGTTGTTGACTCAGTTATACAGTATTTTACCTGTTGGCTTTACAGCCGTCCTTGGTGCAGGCTGCTACACAGCCGCACTGCATAGCCAACTCTTTCACTGCCTTGACCTCATGAAAATAGAAAACCCATCAAATCAGACTCTTTTCACTGCAGGAAGAAAACAATCCAGATGTGCTAAATGGCGAGCAGAGGAAGCTTCAGCTGAACACTCGTTTTTTAGGTTTTATCAATGAAGCTCAGACACACAAAAGCAGCTCCTTTGTGTCTCGGCTTTCTTCTTCTTCACGAAGCTAAAGCCAGATCTGTTGCATAACGTTATCTGCTCTGTACCAACTCCCACCAGCTCTGCTGTGAGGGCTGAGGCAGGAAATGTGTGGGAAGCTAAAGGTTTAAAGTGGGAGCTTTGTCTCATTCTGGTTAAAAAAGAAAATACAAAGCTTCCTTTTATCATTCTTGGTCCTGGCACAGCCCACAAACCCCTGCATCATCAGCAAAGACTAAATTAATCGTGAACAGAAATGTACATTTTTGTGAACGGTAAAAGTTGTCTGGTTGCAGTGGTGGAAATAAAGCACATTTACTTTTAGTACTCAGTACATTTCCCTAGAGACACTTCTGTGCTTTTATTTTGGTAACATTCAATTGAGGACTTGCTTTGTAATAGAGTACTACGGTGTTGCATTAGTACTTTTACTTAAGCACTTTGTCCACCACTGCTCAGAGCTACAAGCACGTCGAGGCGTGGCTCTTTCTCTCTGTGCAGATCAGAGCCAACGCTGTTTGCAGGTTATTGTGGAAAACCTCCATCGCCTCTGACGTTTAGCGGCGCTGCCTCCGGCATCGTTACCACAGCAACCATCCCATCAGGTTTCTGGGCCAAACAAGGTTGCACAGTACGTGACTGCAGTTTGTTTGTACTTTCTCTAAGGAGCTTCCCTCTGGTTTACACTCTGGCTCCGGTGTTTGTCACTGATCGTTTTCCGTCTCCAGACTTTTACCACAATCTAGAAGTCTTTCTGGTAAAAACATTCGGTTTCACTGGTCTGTTATTTCCTGAGGTTTCCTGGAAGGAACCATGTGATGTGGAGCTAATTGTTGTTCCTTCTGAACACAATTCACTAATTGAAGGAAATGTTATTTTCCCCACATACAGTGTAACTGGACGCTGTCCCTGTTCATCTGAGCTACAAGGCAATGACAAAGATTCACAAGGCCACGGCTGTAATTATAATTAATTATTCAATAAGAACTCTATTATAATTAGGAACTAATTACTTTATTGTTTCCACTGGTCTTTGTTCTGTTGACAGCCCAACAGGATTTATGAAATGCCAGTCAGAAATCTAAACATCATCCAGGAGCCAGATCCTCGGTCGTTCAGGTGATTTTAATCAGGCACCTGCTCACAGCGCACGTCACATGACCATGGACTGGGCCAAACTCCAGCATGATGCTACAATGGGTAGGGGGCGACTGGAAAGTAAAACCTAAACTTGCAGAAACTGAATTTTTAAAAAATAAATCTTTCCTATTACATTTCAGATATCTTTTCCATGTGAGGATTTTTAGACGGGCTTTCAAAATGTTTCCAGCAGAAAGTTTAAATACATCAAGTCAACCTTTAATACTCTACGTTACATTTTTAATATTCCAATAAACTTGTTGTAGTTTGACTCGTAGCTTAATTGGTTAAGTTTTTTTTTTCAGAATAAAAGCCATAAAAACCTGAAAACACAGCGCCAACGCAGAAAACCATCATATTGAAGATCGCTGATCAAAACAGTGCTTCAGATAAAAACTGTCTTTAATGAGTAAAACCACTCGGTGCTTTATGAAACATCTTTATTGATCCATAATCATCCTAACCTCATTCCACCATCACAATAGTTTGTTTTTATTCTTATAAAAAGCTGAATATGTACATCCTCTTTGTATTTACACTAGTTTACATGAGCACATGGCCTCTTCAGAGCCTCAAACCCGTGAAGGTCTACTTTCCCACCTACATTACCACCTGTTGCTGGGCGAAATATCACCCAACTCCCTGCTTATTGGCTGGAGGAGTTGCCTGGCAGCAACAGCTTATCAGATTAATATCTGGTAAGAGGAGTAGTTTTAAATTATTTATTTATTTTGAATATTTCATAAGCTGAGCATGTGAAGCAGCCATTTAGAAAAAGATTAAGGTAAAAAAAAAGTCTCAGTTGAATCAAATGTCCTTTATGGGGCAGAAAAGCCAAAACTGTTTGGAACAGAGAAAAAAATAAACTTGAAATAACCTGAAATGTTTCAGGTGATTCAAACCACATAAATTCTGATGTTTCTTAAAGTGAATATTTTAATGCTATAAATTCTTAAAATTCCAAGATGTAGTGGTGATTCGATGTCGTGATCTAGTAGTTGAGTGGAAATGAACTGAAAACACAGATGAGACGAGGGTTTGAGCCCTGCAGACCTGAAACGTTGGCTGTGGTTTTTTTGGTTTGTCTTCGCTTTTCCTCCAAAGTTTCACTTATACCAGTTTGGCCAGGTGAGACTGAGGCTACACCTCCAGCAGTTCAACTATACGTACGTTACAGTACTGCAGGCCTGAAACACACAGTGCACGTAGAGGTAATGGAAACAGGCAAACATATGGCGGCTGGTATAAAAACAATACTGACTGAACATGAGGTTCAACTGTGTTCACATTCGTTTCAACTCAAAGCGCTGCCCGTCTCCGTCACCTCTGAAAGATTTGGTACGTCTGG